TATATGGAAATGGGTTGTATGTTTTGTGCTTTTAATTATATTTGATGTAATAAAATCAATTAAAACCTTAGAAAGTTAAGAAGATTTGAATTGGTATAAAATCTAGTGGAGACCTCCTTGTGAATTTATTTTCACCAAAACATGCTGTAAAAGTAAGGTGGAGTGCAGTGTATTAATGTATGCACTTTTGTCAAATGTATGTCACTGCATACTGCTTGTGAAATAATATAGAATAGTATGCTAGAATGCTACTCTGAACTTAGTCCATGAACACTTAAGTATCTCATGTTGCAGAATAAATACCAAAAGATATTGATTTCCACACAAAAAAAATATATATATATATATTTGGTTCAGTGGCAGATTGCTTGGCCCTCAGAAGAACACGGCCAAGATAAGATGCCCAAAGTGTCCCAAACAAATGCTTGTCTAGACTGAAAATAAATCCTTTTCAGCATGCAGCAACCCACAAAAGAAAGAGCACTTTTATAGCAAACAATAAAATACTGCTGGCCTTCACAAAGACCAAAATAAGAGCGAAAGAGACAGAGAGAGAGAGATCTTCAATGGTTAGCTGTCTGTAGCTTTCTGAATGCCTTCTCACTGCACCTGTTTAACATAATCACCTGTTCATTATATGACAGACATCAGTCAATTAGTTAGTTGGCACTAAATGTGTATTTAATAAGACAGTTTGAAAACTGCCATCACAGTAATTTCCTGTATATCAGAGCCATCTGTCAGAACAGCTCAAAATGCTTTCTCATGGTGATAGAAATTCATTGGTGCTTGTATTTTTATTCCTGAGGCAATTGCTGTGCTACATTTAAAAAAAATGTAATTTTCAATCTTTAGAGAAGTGAAAGGAGCCATACCTGTGAGCAGAAAACACGTGTCCAGGAAACAGATTTTAATTGCTGTAGGTCATTTTTCTGCAAACGGACAGCAGCTTTATTAAGCTTCTTGGCTGTGACTCTGTCTGCTGAGTTAACACTGACTGAACTGTAAGGACAGTGTCTCTGCTCAGCAAATCTATTGGAAGAAGCACTTCAATTATATTTCGTGGTTTCTAAAGCCAGTGGCATCATGCACCGTTTGTTTGTTTATGTATGTGTGTGTATATATATATATATATATATATATATATAAGCACACACACACCTGCTGGCCTTCACAAAGACCAAAATAAGAGCGAAAGAGACAGAGAGAGAGAGATCTTCAATGGTTAGCTGTCTGTAGCTTTCTGAATGCCTTCTCACTGCACCTGTTTAACATAATCACCTGTTCATTATATGACAGACATCAGTCAATTAGTTAGTTGGCACTAAATGTGTATTTAATAAGACAGTTTGAAAACTGCCATCACAGTAATTTCCTGTATATCAGAGCCATCTGTCAGAACAGCTCAAAATGCTTTCTCATGGTGATAGAAATTCATTGGTGCTTGTATTTTTATTCCTGAGGCAATTGCTGTGCTACATTTAAAAAAAATGTAATTTTCAATCTTTAGAGAAGTGAAAGGAGCCATACCTGTGAGCAGAAAACACGTGTCCAGGAAACAGATTTTAATTGCTGTAGGTCATTTTTCTGCAAACGGACAGCAGCTTTATTAAGCTTCTTGGCTGTGACTCTGTCTGCTGAGTTAACACTGACTGAACTGTAAGGACAGTGTCTCTGCTCAGCAAATCTATTGGAAGAAGCACTTCAATTATATTTCGTGGTTTCTAAAGCCAGTGGCATCATGCACCGTTTGTTTGTTTATGTATGTGTGTGTATATATATATATATATATATATATATATAACTTCATTATTTTTAAAATGATAAACATGGTAAATTCACTATTTTAAATATGCTTAAAAGTTTTTTTTTTTTGACAAATAGCAAGCATTTCTAAATCATGAATATTATTGTTTTCTCAGTGTTGTACCATTTGACAACTTGAAATATAATTGCCTATAATTGTCATAAAAAGGTCAAATTATTTTATATTTTTAAGACACTGGCTTTGACACACAGGATCTACGGTGGTCCTGTGCTGGTCTTAACCGCACAATAGTTGGTGCAAGTTGGTTATTAACTGGCCAAAGCTGATTAATTGCTGATTCAGGCTGGTCAATAGATTGTTTAAGCTGGTCATTAGCTGGTCATTGGCTAGTTTAAGCTGGTTATTAGGCCAAACTGGTTATTAGTTGGTGTAAGTTGGTCATTAACTGGTCCAACTGGTCATTTGCTGATCCATGCTGGTTGTTAGATTGTTTAAGCTTGTCATTTGTTGATTCAAACTGGTTATTAGTTGGTGTATGTTGGTTATTAAATGGTCCAAGCTCTTTGTTAGAATGTTTAAACTGGTCATTAGCTAGTTGAAGTTGGCTATTAGCTCAGCCAAACTGGTTATTAGTTGCTGCAAGTTGGTTGTTAACTGGTCCAACTGGTCATTTGCTGATCCAGGATGATTGTTAGATTGTTTAAGCTGGTTATTGCTGGGCCAAACTGGTCAGTAATCAGTTCAAGCTGATTAATAGCTAACATTACATGGTGACCAGCTACCATGTTCCAAAAACCAGCTGGACCACCATTACCTGGCATGATCAGGTAGCCAGTCCAGGATTGTCTACCAGCTAATAACCATCAAATAACCAGCTTGGACCAGCTAGAATACCATTACCATGTTCCAAATCACAACAAGCTTTTCATGCATCTTAATTTTGAATACATGACTAGGTCAGGACAGGTGTATGATGAAAAAAAAACTATATAATAACTTTAACACGTGGTTCTGATTTATTTGCAAGCAACTCCTTAAGAAACTACCACTAACACGTGACGTACCTTTGTACCCAAATGGACTTTCACGTCAACCTTTTGCTTCTTCTGCTCCAAGATGCTCAACAAATACTCTTGAAACACTCCGATTTTGGTGAAGAAGTGCTCGTTGTGCCAGCAGCCTTCCATGTTGTCAAAATCCACCCCCAGGTCGAGGAGGAAGCGGACGCTGCGGGGGTCCAGTGCGATCTGCTGCGGTCTGCAGAGCAGCGCGCTCCGGTAGCGCTCATCCAGAAGCGTCAGTTTCAGCACCTTGCCGGAGCGGACAGCGACCAGAGCCGCGCTCAGCCCGATCGGACCCGAACCCACGATCAGAACCGAGATCCGAGCCCGCCACTGGCGGATCCCGTCCAGGCTCACCTTCACCACCACGTACACCAGCACAGCGAGTAAAGTGCTGAGCGCGGTGTCGTACGCCAGCGTCCGGTACTGATCCACGGGACTCTCCGCGCTCACCGCAACCATGCTGCGAATATTCGGGGAACTGAAGACAACACGCTTCACTTGTTGAGGAGCTTTGCCATCGCTGGCTGCCACGTTACATGTGGGAGGAGAAGAAATCAGTGTACAAATGCGCATATTTTTGTTTTCTAAGCCCACTGCAGTTTATTTCGGCTGCTGCTGCCGGTGTCACAATGTGTTTAAAGAGGCTAAGTGTTTTAAAGGAACTTCGGATTTTAAATGTATTTTAAACGTTCAACGTAAAATAAATGTTCGGGGGTTTGACTCACCCAACGCACATTATAGCACGTTTGCTAATGTTTATCTAAAAGAACAAATATAGGCCTACTAAGCGCGAGGTACCTCAAGATTAATTTGTCATACGTTTCCTCAAGAATTTATGGTTTTTAGAATGAGTATTTGAATAAATATTGTCTATAACATTTGAATTTAAAGGGATAGTTCACCCAAAAATGAAAATCCTGTCATCCTTTACTCACCCTCATGTGTTACTTTCTTTGGAACACAAAAGAAGATAATTTGAAGAATTTTTGTTACTAAACAGTCAGGTCAAGTCACCTTTTGTCACGAACCGCTACTGTGAGGAGCACTGAGCGAGGAACGAGGAGACGAGGAGTTGACTTCAAACAAAGAGACTTTAATTAACATCCAACGGAACTAGGAACACACACGTAGTGGGGAAAGATGAACATTCAATACCAGACAAAGGAACATGGAACAGGACTCACTATAAGGCCCAATCCCAATTCTATTTTATACCCCTTCCCCTTCCCCTTCCCCT